AGTCTAGCCTGCCTTCAGTATGGTCAGAACACTTAGCCTACAGCTGAGCAAAATCATCTAACACAAAGCCTATTTTGTAATAAAGTGTTGAATAGCTCATGTAACTTATAGAGTACTGTACTGAAAGTGAAACACAGAATGGGTCTATAGACACCCTAGTAAAATTGAGAAAGTCGAGTCATTATAAGTCAGGGACCACCTGTAAAACTGTCTGCCAGTTGCCCCACTGTTACATTGTGCTTTTGATGAAGGAGAATTAAATAAATAGTACACAATGGGCTTTTAAATACTATATAAGTAATGCATATTGATTGTAGATAATTTAGTCAAGCAAAGAAGAAAATCAAAGTCACTTGCAATGCTGTGACTTCAGTGTCATCATTTTGATGTATTTTTTAAAGTGATTTTCTTCTCTACCTGTATAGCTAATATATATCATGTCCCAGAGACATATTCTATAGCTAATAAATGTCATGTCCCAGGTACAAGTGAAGACTGACATAAATCCTTCCCTTGTGAAGCTTCTTCTGATATGTGAAGGGAGAAATTAAACAGTTTATATGGTGTTGAGGTTTTTGATGGGTGGTGTACTGGAAGTTATGAAAACCCACAAGGTGAAACCCAATTTCTTACTCATAAATCCTCTTCAGTCTTACAGAATATTTTCCAGTGACATTTTATTAGCTGAATGGCATCTATTGTGTAGATACATCTTAATTTACTTAGTGTAATACATGCAGGATGTTTTCAGTTTTTAGCTTTACCCCTGAGTCAGAGTCTCACTGTCTCCCAGGCTGGAGTGCAGTGACACAATCATAGCTCACTGCTTGCAGTCTCGACCTCCTGAGCTTAGGTGATCTTACCACTTCAGTCTGCTGAGTAGCAGTCACCACAGGCATGTGATAACCACAGGCATGGTAATTTTGAAAAATTTTTTTTGTAGAGAGGACGTTCTTCTCTTGCTCAGGCTGGTCTTGAACTCCTGGCCTCAAGCTATTCTCTTACCTCTGCCTCCCAAAGTGCAGATTACAGGCATATGCCACCATGCTCGACTAGTTTTTAGCTATTGTAATTAAAACAGCAAATATCCTCACAGTTAAATCTTTGTTTTTTAAGGCCATGTTGCTAAAACTAATATTTCTGAGTTAACAATATGCAAAATGTAGTGGCTTTTGATAAGTGTTGTCAAATTGGCTTCCTATAAGTATTGTAAAATATTGTACCTTTTTATACTTTCACCAACGGTATAAGAATGTGCCCATTTCACCTCATCTCTTGCATTGTTGGATTTCATTGAAAAGGTATTGAGCAATTTGATAACTTTTATTGGTAGATTAATCTGTGTATGTTTCATTGCAAGAAAGATTGAACCTTGTATTAGGAGGTTTATGTATTGGTCCACTCATCTTTCCTTACCAAATGGCTTGTTTTTATTTCTTTCCCATTTGTTATGGGAGTACTCATGCTTTTGTTATTAATTTATCAGAAATTTGTGCATTTATGATAATAACTCTGTGTAGAAGGGCATGTGCTGGGAGCGAAATCAATGAATTATAGTGGAGTGGTTAAATGTTCGCTGGGCCATTTATCTTTGCAGAGTCCAAAATTGGATATTGCACTCATGCGTAGTCTTGCATGTGCCCATGTTTCTTTTGCCTCTCTTTACAATGTTTTGTGCACTCTTATCAAAGTGTCCGAGGTTCAGAGATCCCTCTTCCCATGACGGTTTTTCTGCTGCTGCACATTATCAATGGTTATTTCCTTTTTGGTGTTGAGCACCTTTGCTGCAGATTAATTGTAGAGAGGCCTGTGGGCCAGTTGTGTCCTCAAAGTTATTTGCATTGTTATTTGGGGAAGCAGGAAAACTGGGCCTTGGTAGTGGCCACTTGTGACTTTTTCCACCTCACCACAGATATAATTGTACATCTTTTCTGCTGTTCTGAGAAGAGTGGGAAATAGCTTTCGTAGTACCCATTCAGCAGGTTTCCTTTTTCCAATGTGCTTAGCAGAGATGACATTTTGTTTTGGGCTTTAAAAAAAAGATGCCAGTGGAGAAATGGACAGGTTGTGTTGATGGAAAAAAAAAAAATCCCTCACAGTGTATATACATATATGTGCATGAGAGACACTCATGACATTTGTTAGGCACAAATGACTTGAAGACCAAGTTAAAACACATTCATTGAATTTCTGTAGAAAGAACTTGACTCAAGGAACAGTTGAGAAGGTGCAGACTCAGAATGGGATAACAAGGTTTTAGAAAACTTCGTGGAAGTGCTCTATAAGGTTACATTTCCAGTGGTTTTTGAAGAGCAAAAGTTTTTTTGAACATTTTGCTCCTAGAGAATTAAGTTCTAAAAACTGGCATTATTTTCAGCCTTATGTCAAGAAGCAAAATGATTAATAATAAAATATCAGATGAAATGTACGGTCTCCCACTTAAATATGTTTAATTATAATGATGAAAGACTTGATAAGAAAGTCAGAAAAGAAAATTATTACATTCTACAGTTTTTATAATAAATGAAATTATCCTGTGGAGAATGTGGTCTTCCCTAAAACAGGTTCAGAGCATGGCAGTTAGGAAATGATTTAAACTTGATTAAAATCTGCCTTCATATATGAAGCTACTTATCTTGATTTTTAAAGAAAAAAACAGACATTTTAAGCTTTAGTAAAACATTATGGAAATGTCAAAAATCAGTAAACATTAAAAAACCAACTGAAGATCCAAATTAGTAAGTGGCAATTAAGAACCTTCCAGAGTTGAGGCCAAGTAAACATTGAATGTTTAAACCTAAATGTGTCATCTAAAGACTATCTTTGTTTTCTGTGTCTTTCCAAATGCAGCTTTTCCAGGAATATAAATACTAATCGAGAAAGTTATTTCTTCTTTTAGTTGATTTTGAATTTAATGCAGAAGGGAATTTTCGTGTGTTTTGGTGCTATTGATATATTTTGTATTTTAAACATCACAATTTATCTTTACATCATGTTTTTATGACAGATTTATACTGAGGCAGAGCTATTCATTCACACATAGTCATTATTTAGTACTCTTTAGTTGTTTTGAACCATGTGAATCAAAATAAAAAGTGAATTGAACATTCACGTTTATAGAACAAGCATATATATAAAGATACTTTTGTATAATAAATGTGATAGAATGTCAATAATTAGATATGACTATTTGATTTTTGTTTCTCTCCAGTACATTGATTTTATTTAAGCTATAATTGTTTTCTGAGAATATTTTAAATATAAGAAAATTTTCATAATGAGCAGACTTAGGCTTTATGTGGATTTTGTTGCTAAAATGTATTTGCTTCATAGTTAACATAGCTATTGTCTTGTATCTTTTCAACTTGTATATATTTTACGTTATTTATTGTATAGTTTTTAATGTTTTTAACACATTAACAATCTTGTTTTGTCCTTAATAACTATGAGGTTATCCTTTGAGGTGGCACAAAGAATGTCTTACCATAAAATGTTAACATCAAACATTAGTAAATTAGAAATATCACTCTAAAAATCACATTACCATGGATTTGAAGATTTTAAGTCAGCATATTGCTTATATTATGACAATCTAAAAAAATTACAGATAAATACTATACTCCCAAAAGCTATTTAATCTAGTTGAGATGTGAGATTGCATGTTAAATCCACAAATTCTTTTTATAAATTATTTTATCATGTTGATTTTGATTCATATTAGAAAAAATTTGGTAGAGTGTAAAGAAAAAAGTGGGATTCTACCCACTTACTATCACTCTGCAATAGCCTACTTTATTTGTATATTTGAACATTCCTTAAAAGCATCATCCTTTTAAAGGATTCATTATGTTCCAGCCTCCCTATGTACCATTATATGTCTTATCCTTCTCTTTTAGTTTGGCAATTCAAGCTTGAATGACTAAGTGGATGCTGGAGAAATATTTTAAAATTAAAAAAAAGAGTAAGAGGACTAGTGGCATTTAGCTTTGAGACAAAGAGCCTGTGCTTCATGCCTTTCATGTGGTTGGAACAAGAATTTGAGCTTGAACAAGAGTTTTAGCCTTACTGACTTGGAGATGACCAATGTAGAGATGCTGGTTGAAATCTTGGCCAAGGGTGGGATTGCTGAAGAGGAACTGGGAAGGCAGAGTACTTCCTCTTCTGAAGTGCAATATTTCTTAACAACAGGACATGTCATCTCACTGTGTTTCATTATGTTATACATTAAGCTTTCATTTCTTCCTCTATGTTTTAAGGGTGTTGAGCCATAATTTATATATCTTAAGTGTGTGATATTTTAAAAAAAGTCTTCATACTTGGTGGCTATGAAATTAAACATTGATATGCAACTAATTAGTTGCACAAGATTGCTTGAATAACACTCACTAGCTGTATTATGTATGATACAATATTGCGGAAAATTTTTCTCCAATGTTTATCTCTACTTTGTCCCAGAGATATTGAAGGTTAAAACTCTTCAGTGCTTCTCCGAACCTGAATATCTTTTTCTTTTGACTTTGTATCATGACGATTTGTTATTGTTGAATAAATACACACACCATTAGTGAACAGTAAGCTATTAATAACATTGGAAATTCCTAATAAAAAAGGGGACAGATGAATTATATGTATGTGTTTTGGTTCCTGTTGTTACTGTTTTTTTCCTGTGGTTTAGAATAAATAAATAGACACACAAAAAATTTCAAAACTCTAAGAATCTACAAATCTTGAGCCTTTCCACTGCATTTTTCCCCCTGTATTTCTCAAATCTGGTTTAGGTTGTTTCAATTTTGAAATAAGTGCTACTTAAAAATATTAACAGCTGGTTCTAGGAATCATCTGGAGTGGGTACAGATGCCCTGTTACGAATCTTGTGGTGGAACTTTGCTGGAAATATTGTGCCTCATGTGATTAAAGAACTGCTCATAGCCATCTTTAAAAATAACTAAGAAAGAAACATTGGAATATAACGTATGCTATGCTATTTTGTTCCCTATTAGAAAGCAGAAGATGAGGATATTGTTCTCACACCTGATGGCACCAGAGAATTTCTGACATTTGAAGTTCCACTCAATGATTCAGGATCTGCCGGGCTTGGTGTCAGCGTGAAAGGCAATCGGTCAAAAGAGAACCACGCGGATTTGGGAATCTTTGTCAAGTCCATTATTAATGGAGGAGCAGCATCTAAAGTAAGCAGATGTCAACTTTATCATGCATATGCCCATTAACAAAAATGTTTAATTTCAACCCTGTTATTTTTTTAGTTATTGATGATGGCCATCCTGACTGGAGTCAGGTGGCATCTCAGTATGGTGAAAACCACAGGTGCTGGAGAGAATGTGTGGAAAACAGAATGCTTCTACACTGTTGGTCAGAGTGTAAACTAGTACAACCTCTGTGGAAAACAGTGTGGCAATTTGTAAAAGATCTAAAAATCGACCTTCCATGTGGCCCAGCAATCCTCCTTCTGGGAATATACCTGGAGGAACTCAAATCACTCTATAAACAAGATACCTGCCCATGCATGTTTATTGCAGCACTAGTCACAATAACAAAAACATGGAACCAACTGTGCTGCCCAGAGAAAGCGAACTGGATAAAGAAAATGTGGTACATATGCATGATGAAATATTACACAGCCATAATGAAGGACAAAATTATGAACTTTGCAGCAACTTGGATGGATTTAGAGTCTATAATACTCAGTGATTTATCACAGAAACATTCATAAGTGAACCCTGCACATTTATCATAATACTATAAGAAAAGGATTGACAGTAGTGGGACACTGCCAGAGAAGAGGGGGGCACATAATATCAATAAGGGTACCCAAACCTTACCTGCACAATGACTACTTATGTACCTAATCCTGATTTTTATCCCACATCTTTAAAAATAAAAATAATAATAATTTTAAAAAATGTCAGCCCTGTTTCTATTTTGGAAATGTACACTGTTAACAGACATCTTTTGTTGTCTTCACAATACCTCACTGATGATCAAACAACTAGGACAAATCTCAGTGATGTGTCACCTGGACATGGAATCCGTAACTTAAACTCTTCAATGTTTGATCTCACAGAACCTACAACCCATCATCATGTTGGTTCAGTGAAGATAATCTATGCAAAGACCTAGCATAGGTCCTGGCACAGAACTGGCATATACTAAATGTTAATCCTTCCCCCTCCCCTCCCTTGTATGTGGTTCACTTATTCTGTTTCTCATCCTAGAGAAAATTTCCTGGCTGTGTGTTAAGAGGGTACTTCTCTGCAAATGTCTAATAGCTTTGAGCTCTTACATGTCTTGGGTTGTAAATAACCTCTATGGGTGTTTCTGGAAGCAAGAAAGTAATCACTTTGTGTCCTTTGAATTAGTATGCTAGTTTGGTAAACAGATTATGATAATGACTTAATTTACAAATGTATAAATGATTGAAATAGACACAGGCTACAATGGCTGCTTAGATGTTATTATGCTAGTGTTCAATTGGGCATAATCCATTAGGATTTTAAAAACTCACTTTTTTTTTGCTTTGTTTTTATTTTTAACTAAAGAGAAAGCAACTTCTTTTATAGCACTCTATTTAACAGTACTTATTTTTACCTGTTTTCTTCCCAGGATGGAAGACTTCGGGTGAATGATCAACTGATAGCAGTAAATGGAGAATCCCTGTTGGGCAAGACAAACCAAGATGCCATGGAAACCCTAAGAAGGTCTATGTCTACTGAAGGAAATAAACGAGGAATGATTCAGCTTATTGTTGCACGGAGAATAAGCAAATGCAATGAGGTAAAATACACACACGCGTGCGCGCTCTTGCGCACACACACACTCATGCACACCACACATTCAAAAGGCATTAGCATATGAAATTGTAATAAGACTAAATTCTTGTCCTAACATTGAGCAAAAAATGATATGTTTCAGGAACTTATCTCAAAAGACCATACATTATCTTTGCTTGCTATAGTTTATTGTTTTGTCAGTGAATTATGATTTGTTTTCTAAATTCTGTGGTCAGCATATTCTTAAGTGGACATTAATGTTCCTATTACCAACTCATCAGGTAATACCAGGATCTCAAAGGCTCCTTTAGCTGAATTCTCTTTTTGTAAGCAGGGCTACGCCTTCCTTCTCCAAGCCAACAGTTTCTCTTTGGGTCAGCAGAGTTGTACCAGGGAGATGGTGATCCTGGGAAGAAACAGTTGTGTTTTCATTTGTTTATCGAGAATGGGATGTCACTTACAAAGTCCCTCATGGAGAACAGGCTGGCTTTCTTAAGATGTTGGTGTTCTCTTGTGAGATGATCAGCAGTGTAAGCCTCCCCTCTTTCCTCAATCTTCCTTTCCTCCTTTCACTATGGGATGGAGTCTGTTTCCCTTGGTTGCCTACTTTTTCACTGATCTGTATTGCATCAGACCCTGGTTGTTCCAAGTGTGTGCATGTCTGTAATATGACATCAGGAGTCAATAGACAGACACAGGGCATACTCTCTTAAAGTGTGGGATTATCTGTTTTCCCAAATAAATAAAAACATACTGGAGCATTTGAAGGTTTAAAACAAATTATATATACATATTTGATAATGAATATTGAAACTAGATAAAAGCTAAATTGTATAGACCCATTATAAATTATGTGCCATCTATAGAAAATTGATCAGGCCTGACAATTTGCAGAGAAGAGCTGTTGATGATGCAAAGTTTATTGTTTTTGTTTTTATTTTATTTTTTTATTTTTATTTTTAATTTTTTTTAAAATTTATTATTATTTTTTTTGAGTTGGAGTCTCACTCTGTCACCCAGACTGGAGTGCAGTAGCCGCTCCCAGCCACCGCAGCCTCGACCTGCTGGGCTCCGGCGATCCTTCCTCCTCAGCCTTCCGAGTAGCCGGAATTACAGGCGCGCGCTACCACGCCCGGCTGATTTTTTTTTTGATTTATTGTAGAGATGAGGTCTCGCTGCCCAGGCGGGTCTCGAACCCGAGAGCTCAGGCAATCCACTCACCTCAGCCTCCCAAAGGCGCGGGATTACAGGCTGAGCCACCGAGCCCGGCTTGTTTTTGTTTTTATTAATACTCGGATCTTCACATTTTAAAATCAACTTAGATAAAATTATTAACAAACCAGACAAACTGAAAATTATATCTAAATTGTTCAAATGCCTTTAAAAATGTTCAAACCTCTGTTGAGTAAATATATAAAGCAAGCTTTTTAGGTTGTGATGACCACTCACCTGAGCCTATAATACAATCATAGTTTGCAATGACAATGCACTCTTGAGCTCAGTGGATAGTTAATATAGACCAGACCAATTTTGAACAGTTATTGACCATTGATTTAGTTATTTATTTTTATTTGCCTCATGTATAATGAGTTAATAGTAATTAACAAATTCCATAACAACAAAAGAGCAATGTATTTTTTTTGTTTTAATTTATGGAGATGAGGTCTCTCTATGTCGCTTGGACTGGTCTTGAACTTCTGGGCTCAAGCAATCCCATCTTGGTGCTGAGTTTACAGGGTGAGCCATTGCAGCCAGCCAGCAATGTAATCTTAACTAAAAATCTCAGAATGGGAAAGAGTGGGACTTAGAAACGGTTACTTACATAAAATAAATTCAAAAGCTAATCCCTCAGAGTAGGCTACTGGATTGATAGTCTTGAATAATAGTAAGTCCTGCAAAGTACTACATGAAAAATTCTAAACAGTAAGTTTTCAAGAGTCATTATTCTTTATTAGGTTTATTTTTTCCCCAATTGAATACTTTCACATTCCACAGGACAGTATTCACTGCACAGATGTTTATTGAACATCTACTATATGTCAAAAAATGTGCTAGATCCTGATGACGCAGCAGTGAATAAAACAGTTGGGGTACTGTCTCTCATGAACTTATATCATCTTCCTGGTCTTCTTAAAAATAAACTAAAGTTTGTAAAGTGTTCCTTCACAGAAAACACTGAATGCTACAGGGGGACTTAAAATGTCAGAAATGAGCTGAAGATCAGCATTCCACTTTCATCTGATACAGATTATCTGTTTTTGTTCCCCAAACAGCGGCAAAACAAACCTGCACAAACCTGAAAGTGTTTTTGTAACAGCTCTGATTTTATTCCCTGTTGCCCTGTAAAAGACATGAAATTGGAATCCCCTTGAAATAGCTCTGTGTCTCGTTCACTTGTGTATGTGAATTTATGTGAATGAAAATGAATTACGTAAGGAAAACAGCTGCAATAGACAGTAATAGACTTTAATATTCAATATTCCTTATAGTATCATTTTCATACATTGCTGGTTATTACTATTTCTTAGGACACAGTAAGCTTATAAAGCAATTACATCAAAAAATCTTACCATGAGTGCTGTGCTATCTTTGTAATACTAGCTAGAAGCCTTTTGTACCAAAAGGATTTAACTAAAAAATTACATGAAGACAGAAAATCTCAATTCAGCTTCCCATAAGACATAAGACATGATTTTGCTGCTGTTGTACTTATATTATTCTATATTACCTGTGGAAAAACTTCTCCCTGAATCACTGGGAGGGGATGTGAAAATTATGTTATAGCCAAAATTGATACAGGCATAGGATGTCTTGCTGTTCTGAGTGAACCACAAGCCAAAATAAAATGCTGAGTTCTCGCCTTCTACATCTGCTGGTCAGCTTTGTCATCCACTGCCAATATCCAAGAGTATAGTTTACTATTTCATCTTTAAATCAAGGGTTTACATATTTAATTTCAAGCTAGAAAACATAAGAATGTGCAAAAGAAAATCTTTTGTACTTTGTCACATTTTCCCTTCACTTGAGTTATTATCTTGATATGTTTTCTGTTATCTTAATGTTGTCTTTAAAATAATCCATCAACTCCCCTCTCTAGATGTCATCTTAAAACCCTGTATTTCACTAATATTTGTCACTAATGGAGACATTCTCTAAAAGCTATTTCTCAGTCTCTTTTGTTTGACCTTTTAGACATCTGTGGGTAACACGTCATTCTCAAAATGTTTCCTCATCCACCCTTCCTATTTTTCTGTTAGCAGATTCTGGATCTCCTTCCTCCTCTAATGGGTCCTTTTTTCCTGCCTTTTCTTTTATTATCAACATTTCCCAAAGCTCTGCCTGGTTTGTTTCTTATCTGCACATGCTCCCTTGCTGACCTTCACTCTTTGGTGGTCAGTAACCATCTAAGTTAGGATGAATTCCATCATCCGGTCTGCAGCCCAGAACTCCACTCTGGTACTGGATCCTTTTGTCCACCTGCCCCGGTAGAGGGTCACCTCAGTGTCTTCTGGGCCCCTAGTTCACAAGGAACCACATTCTTTTAGTTGTAGAAGCCAAGGATCCTGGGTCATCCTTGACTTTTTATATGCCATCACGATACCTGTGGCTTCTGCCTCTAGAATCTCTCTTTCTTCTTCCAACTTTTCTCTCTCCCTGCCACCATGTCCAGGTTTAGCCCCTGTCCTCTCACCAGGCTCACTGCTGAAGATTTCTCTGCAATCAGGCTTACTTCCTCAGTCCATTCTCATCACTGCTGTTAGGGAGATTTGTCTGCAAAACAAATTGATCATGTCACTCCCTGCTGAAATCCCTTCAGGAGCTTTCTATGTGTCCAGCATGGTAGCCAGGCTCTAGTATGTGGCCCACTGATTACCATCAGCACCCTCCAGCCCTCCCTGTGCAGCCTTCACTCTGGCTGCTCAGTACTCCCTGTGATCTCCCAGATGTGGGATACTCTCTCTCTCCTCTAGGTCTTCCACTTGAATCTGCTCTGCCCCTTATTCTAGCAAAGACTTACAGTCTTTCCATTTCTGTTTTCTCTCTCCAAAGCATTTTCATAACCCCATCTTCTTAGCGCCCTCTCCTCCCAGATGCCTAAAAGGTTAAGCAAAAGAGACTGAGAAATAACTTCCAGAGCATGTCTCCAGTGGTGACAAATATTAGTGAAATACAGGGTTTTTAGGATGGCACCTACCTCCTATCACACTGTCATGGTTTTCTCTTTGATTTTCTTTTGTTGAAATTGTAAATTCAGAGACTTCCGGGCCCTTGTCAATCTGCCATGTTCTTGACTATCCATTGCTGGTGTCCAACCCAGGGCCTGACAGGTCAGTATGGACTGAATGATGAGGGACAGTCCTGGGGACTTTGGCATTTTTGAAAGAAAAAGAGAACTTAGCCGGGCTCGGTGGCTTAGCCTGTAATCCCGTGCCTTTGGGAGGCTGAGGTGAGTGAATTGCCTGAGCCCGCGGGTTCGAGACCCGCCTGGGCAGTGAGACCTCATCTCTACAATAAATAAAAAAATCAGCCAGGCGTGGTGGCACATGCCTGTAATTCTGGCTACTCGGAAGGCTGAGGCGGAAGGATCTCCAGAGCTCAGCAGGTCGAGGCTACGGTGGCCGGGAGCGGCCACTGCACTCCAGTCTGGGCGACAGAGTGAGACTCCAACTCAAAAAAAGAGAACTTAGTATTAGAAACTGAAATTCCAAAATAACCATCAGACAAGGTAACTAAACGAATTTGGGGACAGTGATTCTGTATTTCCTTTGTGGTCTCTCTTTTCTTAGATCTAATGCTCATACTGAAGTACATTTAAAAATATTTCATAAACAGTCATTGTTTCTTTCTTTTTTTTTTTTTTTTTTTTTTTAAGAAACAGAAATGGCTTCCCCTTGTTTTGTGCTTCTGAAGAATGGTTTCGCTTTTTAAGAGAGACATTAAATCCTGGTATTCTTTTCCATTGTTTTGATTCTAGAATACAAAACACAAGAGGAGAAAAATTGCTGTTACTTACCCTGAAGGAAACATTTGTAGAGGACTTAGAAAGGAGGGTGGAGGGGAATGGAAGTAAACACGGGGCATTGTTCTGAGTATTGAAAATAGCCTGTATATGAAAATTATGTGGATTTTAAATATTTTAAAGAAATTCATATTTGTAAAAATTACTATAATTTCACATAGCTTGCAGGTTTTTCATTATATCCATGTCAGAAGTGATTTTGTATCAAGCCTTTTCTTAGTACCAGTAGAGAATATCACCAGGTGAGTTTTTGTCTTAGAGCCCATATGGAGGGATTAAGTAATCAAGGACTACTTTAAAATGAATTCTTTCTCTTGGTTTAATCCTCTTAGAATTAGAAAGCTATATTAGAGTAGGAAGGGGCCTAAGGTATCATTTATGATTCTCTTTGTTTTCTGTATTATGAAATAAATCCAGAGAGGTCAAATGATTTACTTAACAGTCACAAAGCCAAGGTAGTGGCAAAATAATTTAGAAGCAAGGTGTCCATCCCTCTTATACAAGTGAGTGGATCTAATTGACTGTGATTGTGTTGTTCAGACAATTTATAGCCCAGTTGTGTTGGGAAGTTGTGTACAGTAGTAGCATGGGCTTTAGAATTCGACGGAATCAGTTAAATTCTGGCTGCTGCTAACCCAGGGAGTTTACCTCAGCTCTCTGATTCTTGCTGTGGCCCTCCTGGAAAATAAATGTTGTCCTGTACAACATTCAGCATGAAACTGTACCCTATATCTTTCTTCAGTTTACTCCAAAACTAAAACCTGTCTTTTCATTAGTTGCTTTGTTTACCTGTCCTTTGGATGCTAGTGTTTTCTACAATGTATAATTTGAATCTAGGTTAAATGTCTTTTAATTTCAGTGTCATGCTATGCCCTCACTTTTAAAGACCTACTTCCGTGTGACCTAGTATGTCATCTTAAGGAAAATGTGAGTCATGCATCTTTCTTAGGAATGAGTGCATTAATCAGATTTTTCTGCCAGTGCCTGCTCTGTGCATGCCAGGCTTCAAGGAAAGGTTAGAATATGCTCATAAAGACTGGAATAATAAGGTCTTGCCAATTACTAATAAGAGTTTAGTTTTAGGTTTTTCTGAAGGGTGTTAAGGCCACACCTATGTCAGCCTATCAGTGTTTTTAGTGGAAATGGTGGGATCCATTTTTTTTAGGTGAAAAAACATTATTTGATCTGCAAATGCATATTTACAGCAAAATGAGATTTTACTAAATTCCTCAGAAATTGTGTTAGTCTTTTAAAAGAATCCAAGATTTTAGCTTTTACTAAGTAAGAAGAGAAGAATATGCCAAGTATATAATGAAAAGCATATTCATTGGACAATAGCCAGTATTTTGTTATTAAAAACATTTATTATTTTATGATTATAAAAGCGGTATGTGATCATTTGGATATATTTAAAATAAGCTTATTATACTTACATTGTTTTTAGATATTGATGTTATTTCTAATTTGTATACCTTTTGTAAATAAAGTTATAATAAATATTGACTCACACGAATCTTTATCATTCCCCAACTTATTATTTCTTTGGGATAGGGCCCACAAAGTGAAATAAGTGCCTGACCAAAGAGTCAAAAAATGAGAGTTTTTTTTAACCTCTAATAATACATTTCCAAATTACTTCAGCAAAAGATTATCTTACTTCATAGTTCTCAAGTGTGGGTTATCTTGTTGCAACCTATAGCTATTTTTGTTCTGTAATAGGTGGAAAGGCTTTCCTAGGGCTAGAGTCCACGAGTCAACCACTGCTACTTGAGACTGAATTAAGTTGCGTTACAGAAAATTTTTGCACGTTAAACAACAGACAACTAAGTGAAAATTGCCGTCCTGTTCACTTTGGATTCTTCTTCTAATTACGTTTAGTTTTAATAGGGTTTTAATGTAAAGAGCCTGCAAGGGCGTGGGAGCAGTCCAGAGAGCAGAGGCAGGCCATTCTCCCAGGACCACTAGTGCTGCCTCTCCTCGTCTGAGCGGCTGGTGTCCCCTCTGACACATTTTTCTTTCTTAAACTCGTCGTCTTGCAACACAAAAAATCATCAAAAGATTTAAAACAAAACTGTATACCCCAATCAGTTTTTTAAAAAAAGAAATTAAAAGGCATTGTATCTTCTGTTAAATATTTATGTAGTAGACTATTGATGTCTTCATTTAAATCTGTCTTTTGAGATGCAAATTAGACATTGGTAGGGAGGTAGGGGAGGTGTAGAATCTTTCCCATGAAAATATTCAAGTGCTTAGCTTTTTCCTGAACAGACATCTTATTGTTTTTTTCTAGAAAGTCTGCATGGACTATTTTTTTAATCAAATTTTTATTTGACTGTATACAATTTTTAAATAGTCTTTTGGGATATTTAGGGATTTCTCATGAAGAGGCTTTATAAAGGTCTTATCATCTAGAAAATTACAGCATTATATACTTCAATTAAATGTATTTTTCAAGCAGACTTGAGGCTCTGTTGTCTATCTTCTGATAAAATAAATTATTGTGTAGCAAGCAGGACCTGTTTGTGGAGCCTTGTGGAGCAAGTCTTTATGTCTGTGCTCTTCATGCGTATATCCTCTTTAATGTGTGTTAAAATGCAAACATACTTGTTCTTAAAGGTATAGGGTATTAGTTTTGTTTTTTTTTTTCTTTTTACCTCCCCAGAGTATCTTGGAATTTAGGTATTGTATTCTTTCAGAAACTGTTCTTTTATTTCTTTACATCAGAGACCTTGAATATTTAATTTACTTTTCAGTAAAGCTGTCAGTTGTAATCTGCAATTTAAAAAAAAAAAACTAATAAAACAAATCCTCATTTCACAATTTAAACCTTATTGAGTCTAATTCACTAGCACTGCAAGTTTATTATTCTCCTGCAGTTTGACGTGCCTCCAATTGTAATTGTGTTGACCCTTCAATGCATTAAATCTCCCCAGTGCTTATCAAACTGAGAGAGATAAGTCTACAATTTGGAACTTCATTAAATATCTCATTTATATTAAACAGATGATAGCTTCTAACAGAAATAATAATTTGTTCAGTGGAAGGCACTGCGACAGTTGTGATTTCATGTTTGGAATGAGCAGTCTTCTCCCTCGTTTTGCTGTGTTGTGCTATGCTCCTGTCCACTCCCTGCCACAGCCCTGTGTGTCTGGCTGGCACCAAAGCGTCATAGGATGTTAGTCCATGTGGTAACCTCAGAGCCCACATTGTGAGGATTATAGTTAAGCGTGCTTTGTTCCCCCTTGAAACAAATGTGCTTCAAGGCCTTACAAATGTACATTTATTATTCATATGATTTTTATGAAGAATAAGACTTATAAGACATGGCTAGCTATCTTAAGGAATGCTCATACCATTGTAGTTCACGATCCTAAAAAATGACCTATATTTTTTGCTTTTTTAGTAGATTGTATATGTTTGTGAAATATTTGTTTCTTTGTGAACTTCATTAGCATATTTGATCCTTTTTTCCATGATGTTCTGTACACTATTAAAGTGCTCATCTCAGTTACTCACTATGTCATACTTATAAGATTACAGTAAGAAAATACCATGATTATTCTTAATTTCTGGCAGAAGAAGTTTACATTCGGTGTATTGTTCAAAACACCTGAGCTAACAAATGGAGTCTTTAGGTCTTGTAGGGAAGGTGGTAATTCCACCAGCACACAGGTAGATGTGTGCTAATTGTTAGATATGTTTACATGCAAAAGTATAAAAACTATAGCTAAATTCCAGCTTCTATTCTGATAAAGCATGCCTTTTATGAAGCATCGTCTAGCAAAGGATTTTGAATTACACTATAACTTAAATTGACTTAAACAGACACCAACAGTTAAATTGAAAAAATAAGCAACAAGATCAGATTTTTAAAAAAACTTTAATATGCATATTTTTCCTCCAGTGGTTGAAATCTGACATAACTTCATGGGAGGGACAGGATAAAGTGGCACAGAAAGTTGGTCATTAGGCAGAGCTGTCATCACAAATTATTTTGGTACAGGGTGAAAAGTTCTAGTTCATTTGTTACCCAGTTGGATATAGGCCTTGGGCAAGTTGTTATAATTCCCCCATGCTGCTAATGGGTCTCCCTGTACTGATCTCCCTTGCCCCCCTTTTTCTATAGCTAAAGTCACCTGGGAGCCCCCCTGGACCTGAGCTGCCCATTGAAACAGTGTTGGATGACAGAGAACGAAGAATTTCTCATTCACTCTACAGTGGGATTGAGGGACTTGATGAATCACCCACAAGAAATGCTGCCCTCAGTAGGATAATGGGTGAGTCAGGTAAAACTCTATTTATCACATCTTCTTTTTATGCTTTCACTGGTTTGCTGAGAGGTTATTAATGTAATATTAATGTAAAAGAGGCCCATGTTTCGAAGAGGAAAATGAACAGGTTCATTAAAACCATTCAGGAAGTGTTAATGTGATGAGAGTAAATCAATACATTGATTTGTTAAGTGACTTTTATATCTTGTAACATGTGGGAAGAACAAAATTTGAAAGGGATCCTATGGAAAGGTTTTCCAGTGATCAAGATATTCTTCACTTGTTTGGAACAATAAGTGAAGTCGTGCTTTAAAAGATCAGAATGTAATGGGTTCATGGCAAGAAGGATTCAAAAATTATCATTCACAGAGGCATTCTTGGAGTGAGAGGGAAAATATATACATATATATACAGGTACATATGCAATATTCACACTTATTTGGTTTGCACTTAATCGAATGTTACTATATTTGAATTGTATTTCTAATTTTTCAAAACCTTGGTTTTAAAAGCCTGCACTGATCGTCTACATCCTTTGTTTGGATTCCATACCATACTGTCTGCATGGCCCCCAGCGGGTAATGAGGTTATTAGCACTTGCTCGGCAGCAATTCAGCTTTCTACTAACAGACCTGGTTAATCAAGACTTGCTCTGCCACCGGAGTGCTTGGATTTACTGAGTTGCTCATCTTGGGATCAGCTTAGGAGAGTTTTAAAATTTAAAACACAAGAAGCTGTTTTGATTAAAATATCACCTGATATAAAGCACTTTTATTGCTGGGTATATTTTGCAAGGCTCTCATTTAAAACAAAACCCTAAATTTAACTCCATTTTGAGTATACTTAATGCAGATTTAATACAACTCAAGTTTTCATGGAGTCTCATGGAAACAAGAATTTCTTTTATTCATCAGGGGATGTTTATGGAAAGCCTGCTATTGGCAAGACGTCGCGTATATACTTTGGCTATAGATACAAAGATGAGTTAGACACAGTCTCTGCCTTCAAAGAACTTTCTACTGGGCATCATCGGAAAAATAAATAAACAATGCCTAGTAGAACTTTCTGTTGTTCTTCCTCTAATTCTTCTAGCTTTTTAGTTTGGAAAAATTGCTAAATTCTCAATTTCTTATCTTGTTACATGTAGAACTTGGACATGCCAGCTCTCTAACTTTACTTTGTCAGCATTTTTCTGTTTACCTGCTTGGCATAAGTAAAAGTCCAGGGTGGATGCTACACCTGTTGTGGTGACCACCTGTTGGGTGACAGGCATGGTCCATAGTTTATCACATGTGATCTTGGTTTATTACTTATCCCTCTCTTCACTGCTGTTGGATTTTCCATATTTTCTTGGGCTTTGGTGTAAAAACTTTATCTTAAATTCTTGTGTACTGATCAAATTTCAGACCCCTTGAGAGAGAAAGAGTGTGCATGTGTCCCTAGATCTTTGTGCACACAAAGTGATTTGCTGTAATTTCCCCTTTATTATAGGAACATAGGACTTGCCATACTGAATCAGACCATTGGTCCACCAGTTCCTGTAACCGGCGTCCTGCCTCCAACCCCTGATGCTTCAGAGGAAGGCGAAAACCTAAAACTAAAAAACAAACCCCCAAAATCCCAAAATTCACCTAGTGACCTTTTGAAATGTTGTATATCTGGGTTCAAGAGACATTCATTTTCTTCATAGCCTATTGCCCTGATTTTGTTAGCTATGGCTTCATTAGCTCTTCTCCGTTTTCATTATGGTTGCATTTGTCTCCCCTTCTGCTTGATTTGTAATGAACTCTTAAAACTCCAGATGCTTCCCTGGGGCAGTGACTTCCCTCCCAGCCCTGTGCTTTGTGAGGTGTCTGCTCTTTTACCACTTGGGCTGGCGGATGACGGACTCATTACTGTTTGAGGATAGGCCAAATTACTGATGTATGATTTGAATATTTTCTTAAGATACTTTTTTACATTTTGTACTGGAAAACTAGAGATTCTAGGTAGTTTTACCCTGATAAATGTATTTTCTTTACTTGATTTTTCTTGCATTTGCAAAGTTGAGAATTCCTCAGTCTGTCAGTCCTTAATGCTAGTGTCATTGGCCATAAGAATCAAATGCTATTTGTGAAATTAGTTTCCACTTAAACTTAAAAATCCTTTGTAAGATGTTACCTTGCAATAGAATGCCAAAGCAGCGTACAAAAGTTATTTGAGGACTGGATTTCTATTAGCCTAAACCAATAACAATGGTATTTATTGATTTTCATTGTCTGTGCATGGAAATTTCTCAGAAACATCTTGTTTCATTATGACATCATTGTTGTTTTTTATATGTTTAGAATCACTCCTGTGTAGATACTATTGGAGGTGACGATATTTATTTCATAATCTGCTATAATATAAAGATAACTTTGTATTGAAATTTCAGCTTGTTGCATTAAGAAATTATTCATTTTAGACCAGGGAAAATTTTCACATTGGTTATCCCCGACGTAGGACTGTAGACCAAAGGGAGCTTTGAGGCTTTCTGACCCATTTCTGTGGGAACACAGCACAGGAGAAAGGCTTTTAAAATATATACTAAAAACGAAAGAGTCTTCAGAGTTAGAATCATGTCAGATGCCATCAGCCACACTTTCCCACTTAGCAGACAAAGGAACCAAATCCCAAGATCCCAAGATGTTTTTATTCTATTTTGGGGGGGGGGTGGGTGGGTGGGTATTTCCTACATCTAAAAATAGCCCTCTCTGGGGAATACTGAGATCACACAATAAGTATTAGTGACATTTTGGCATTCATTCTTTGTTAACATCAATTTGTAAGTGTCCACATCTTTAAGCATTTGACAATCTCTAGAACCTATTCCATCCTGGCACTCACTGTAATCTAAAAATCAAAGAAGTTAACCTTTGAAACCAGCCTTGGAAATCATGTACTCCAGCCTATTCATATTTAGGGAAATTATGGGCCATAGAAATTAAGCAGCTTCACAGAATTCACACGGTTTCTGTGTTTCTAAACCAAAGTTTGAATGGATGTTTTTCTGAGTCATGAGTCTCACTTGACTCAAACCTGATCAGTCTCTTTAGCTTTTGATGGGCTTAGTTATAATTGTTACTGAAGGCAAGATTTCTCCAAATGTTATCTGTTTTGACTGAATTTCTACTATCATTTTATTAGGATTTTATTAGTCCTGGGCATGCATCAAAAAGTAATCTTCAATAGGACTACATAGGATTTGTCCGTTGAAAAGCCTTAAAAATATTTCCTAATTGTTGGTCTGTGTTAACTAATAATAAAGCAAAATCAATACTTGTCATTGTGAATTTAGCCAGGACATCCACACCATAAAATACATTACATGGGGACATTTGTGAGCATGGGCCTTAACTTTTTCCCAAATCTTTTAGCTGAAGAATTTTTCTGTTTAAAACAAAACTGAAATATATTGTATTCATTTTAGAGTTTATCTCAGTAGCTTCTATATTCCTACAGATGTGGTGAATTTAAAAAGTAATTATGTTTAGGATATTTTAATCTTGTTAGAAATTTGACATTGAAAAATGCAATATCAATGTTTTTATTGTGAATCATACCACTGGCACAGTTTTCCTCAAGCATTGTGTGGTGTTACATTTTATGTAAATTTACCAATGAATAAATGTTTAGTAAACAATCATTTTGTATTTCATTGTTTCCCTCCACAAGATATAACTGGTTTAAATCTTCATTTGTAGGTATTTGGCTGACTAGTTGAGCAAAGAGGAAAGTCAGACTATCAAGTCACTCTTAGAAGGTTTCACATTTATTATATGTGCCAAGTGCTAGCAAACATAGTTCAGAAATCATGGCATTACCTAGGTGAAGCTTAGAAGAATATGTAGTTAGGCAGTTTAGTTGTCCATTATCCCAGGTATTCTTGGAACCTTATCCCAAAACTATATTCCTGGCAAACATGTTAAGAGGTGGAAAATTGTTGGAAAATATGAATTATCAAGTCTTATGAAATATTAGCCTCCTGAATCATAGTACAAAATTATTGTCTTACTATTAGGGAGATTTGTTGCCATTTATGTATGAAATTTTAGATCACTTAGGTACAACATTTCTATTTAGATCTACTTACTACAAAGATAAATTATCATATGAGCCATTCAGTGTTCCAATTAGGCTGCCTCTCAAAATATGTTGTGTAAAACCAACCAAGAATTAGTCTTTGTGTTTACAAATGTATGCACTTAGGTTACACTGTAATATTTCTGGATGAGGATTTGGTATATAATGTTGTGACATGCCCCATCAGTGGTGAGTTGTCAGGGGTAACCCTGGTTATATAATTCTGTATACTTTTTTGGGAGATGAAAGTATGTCTTCAGAAGGAAACATTTGTTTGTCTAATAATGCTGGAATGTCTTGCCTTATTTCTAAATAATTTTTTTTTTTTTTTTGAGTTGGAGTCTCACTCTGTCGCCCAGACTGGAGTGCAGTGGCCGCTCCCGGCCACCGCAGCCTCGACCTGCTGGGTTCTGGCGATCCTTCCGCCTCAGCCTTCTAAGTAGCCGGAACTACAGGCATGCGCTACCACGCCCAGCGAATTTTTTTTTTATTTATTGTAGAGATGAGGTCTCGCCAAGTTGCCCAGGCGGGTCTTGGACCCGCGGGCTCAGGCAATTCACTCACCTCAGCCTCCCATGGCGCAGGATTACAGGCTGAGCCACCGAGCCCGGCAAATAATATTTTTGTTGAACAAATTTCTGTACTAATAATCCTAAAACTTGAGTAGAAATAAATGAGTGATTTGAATTCAGGAAAAGTTAAGTATTACATTTGAATTACATTTTTATCACGAGCATTCATATAAAGCTGCTACTTTTCATAGTTTATCAAAACGGGTGCATTTGAAATTAAAGTAGAAAGTCTTTCTTGATAAAATGCTGAGAAGAGTTTTCGGTAGAATTTGTAGTATTTCTGTAAGAGAGTAGTTGATGCTAGATAATGAATGCAGTTGAAATCTCCAGCAAGTTTAATGTTGTGTGTTATCCTGAAAAGATATGTAGCAACTTAAGTGATTTTTGCTTCTTTGCTGAAATATCTAGAAAAATGTATACTTAAAAAAATTCTTCGGGAGAAAAATGTCCTTTGGCCCGGTGTGTTGGCTCTTGCCTGTAATCCCAGCACTTTGGGAGGCCAGGGTGGGAGGATCACTTGAGCCTAAGAATTCAATACCAGCCTAGACAACATAGTGAGACCTTATCTTTACCAAAAATCAAATTTAGCCAAATGTGGTGGCAGGCACCTGTAGTCCCAGCTATTCATGAGGCTGAGGTGTAAGGATCGCCTGAGTCTAGGAGGTAGAGGCTGTGTTGAACTGTGATCATGTCACTGCACTCTAGCCTGGGCAACATAGTGAGATCTCAACTCACAAAAAAGGAAGAAAAAATCCTTCAGCTTGAATATGCATTCCCCAACATTCTTCTGAATGTTACTTTTAAAATTAGATCTGAGATTCATGCTAATAAACTCCTTGTACATTGTTGTTGTGCAATTTTAAGAAAATAATTTATAACAAACGAAAAGTTCACCCTATGTAAAATGGTGGTCGCATCTTGGGAAAGTGCGGCAAGCCACTTATTTATTTAGGAACCTGTGTAACTGACTAACAGATTTGAAAATTGTTCTTAAAATGAGTTTTCCCATCCTCCTGTAAGATGAACAGTGAGGTTGTCAGGTCTCCTTGCTCCATGGGCAACAGCGTATCACGGTGCATTTTTTTGCCTTGAAATATACTTTTGTCCCAAGAAAGATTGTGAAACGTAATCTGTCATGCTGATCCATGAACCTCAGCAGATTTTCTGAGCAAGAAACTGATCTATAATACAATTGTGGGTCTTTTCTTCCCAAGGGCACTATATCCTAATGGAATAAATCCGCATTTACAGCTCCTCAGTCATGGTCTAAAAAAAAATCTCTGAGCAGTGAGATCCTAATTTTGTTGCTTCAAGATCCCTTCTGGCATCTCCCCTTCCTTAGGCCTTGATTCTGGGGGTACTCATTTTTGGAGTGTCACCTGAATGTACTGTGGGCTTTTCTTCATCATGCATTTAATGATGTTGCTGGTGATGTCTAAAATAAAGGCCATCATTTCTTCTAGCAGGAAAGATCATGTTCATCATTCAGAACCCAACCCTGATGTTAACTCCTGTTTGATTCCCAGCACCCCCTGCCCTGGTGACCCATGCAACTACAACACAAGTGAATACCACAGTGCTTTTGGCACTGCCCACAGCACCATACAGTTATGACTGTTTGTAGGTCTTTCTCCTTCACTAGGATATGAGCTCCTTAAGGACAAAGGTTATGTTTTACATTACCTGATATGTAGCAGTTGTCTGATGAATGAATGAATGAATGAATGATGGAAGTTAGTAAGACTTCCCTCTAAATTTCCTGGTAAAAATTTTCAAAGGATGCTTGCAACTTAGAATGTGTGTACATTTTCACATTAAAAGACATTTTGGAGATCATCCCTGGCTTTATGAAGTGTAAAATCAGAAAAATTGTACACTGTTGTGCCCCGAGCTGTGTAGCAGCAGTGACCAAGATAGTAATAGACTCAAGTTCTCTGTTTGACAATCCTTTTTAACAGTAAATGTGCTTAATTTGATTTTATTCTACTAGGTTGAGCAGGTGCTTGGAAATTTAGACTTTTTCTAATAAAGAAGAGTACTAGAATAAATAAATGTAACACTTAGACCGATGTCTAGAATTTCTCTCTTTTTTCACCTGGACAGGTAAATACCAGCTGTCCCCCACCGTGAATATGCCCCAAGATGACACTGTCATTATAGAAGATGACAGGTTGCCAGTTCTTCCTCCACATCTCTCTGACCAGTCTTCTTCCAGCTCCCATGATGACGTGGGCTTCATGACAACAGATGCAGGCGCATGGGCTAAGGCCGCCATCAGTGATTCAGCCGACTGGTAGGTCCAGTGGCAGAAAACATCAGTTAATTACAGTCACATTTTATTTTATGTTTAGATGGCTTATCACCGAGCACAGTTAATTTCCTTGTGGCAATTTTCTGTCTTCCTGGTTTTTATATACTTATTACTCTCTTCACAAAAAGTTACCCCCAACCTTGTGAACTTGCTCAGTTACAGCCTAACCAATACCCAACTCATTTGTTTCTGCTTCACTGTTTATGATTTATTATAGATTGGTGCTAATTTAGTAAATTGTTTTTCCATTTAATACATTCTCAGCAAATTCCTAACAGTTCACTAACTTTAGCAAAACTGATTATTGATGTGTTCTGATGGGGAGGAGGCTTTTTTTTTTAAATTTTCATTTTAGAGTGCTATAACTATATTGTTTTAAGTGCTTTGTAATAGCTAATAGCATAGTGACTTTGGGGGCAGTCTCTTGCTGTTTTTTCTCCTGTGTCTTTTGAAATAGAGGAAAGCATTTGATATTATTGAGCCAATGTGAGGCTCATGAATATGGCTGTGTGCCTTAATCTGCCTGCCTGGTAATTATATACATCAATAAGCAAAAGGAAAGCTCCTCTTAGGGACGACCTCATGAGGTTGTAGTGATAATTAACACAAACCATGTGAAGTATTGTACCAGAATTTTCTTATTGCCCTTTCTCTGGGGTCGTTTATGAATACATCAGCAAAATTACATTTAAATGTTATGGCGTTGTTCCTTCTCCACTTACCTGTTTCTGCTTCTTACTCTTTCCTGAATTGTGTAGATATTGAATATGAGACAGGAAGTGTCCAGGGGACTGGCATTTATTTGTGTTAACATTTCAGTGATGATTTAACAAAATAAGCCCCTCCCCTAGTCTTCTCCTCCTCCCCGCCCCCCGCCCCCCGGCCCGGGCTCCTGCTATGAATACACAAAATACAGTTCATTTATCTGCTAATTCTGTAGATGTTCTCTTGGAATTATCTCACCTGTTATTTCAACCCTTGAAAAGTTTATCTCTAGCTTTTCATTTCTTTTTAAATTCTTTTTGAAAACATGGAATTTAAAAATATAGCTGCACTCAAGTTTGCATTATAATAGCCTATCTTTGAGTGTGTGTGTGTGTGTGTGTGTGTGTGTGTGTGTGTGTTTTAGTTAAATGTAGAGGAGAAAACTACAATATAAAATAAAAACACATTTGAAATCTGCAGATGCTGTTACATTGACTGCTGTAGTTTCTGTCCCTTTCTGAAAGTGAAAGCAAGAACAGAGAAAGTAAGGATTAGATATATGCAGTATTCATTTTAGGGACAAAAGCCTTTGAATCTCCACCATGATGAGAAATTGTGGAGGTGGGCATAGGAGTAGATCTGTTTTGGGCCTTAGATAGCGGTGTATTGGTAAAAATAGATAAATAACTAGCAGGGATAGTTGGTGGCATTAATGTCCCTAAAGGGTGGGGTTACAAAACGGTGAGGACTTGTATGATTTTGCTGTGGGGAATGTGGGGCACAGAAAAGAGTATGAATGAAGGGTTATCCAAACAAGAATGACAGCTGTTCTGAATCACAGCAGAAAATGTAAACTTTTCCAGCCTGACAATATCGTCCCTAATCCTTGATGAAAATGTTATGAAAACAAAAGGGCAAAAAGACAGAATTAATAACTAGAATGTTAATAACATTAGGGGTCAGGATCTGGTTACATTCTTTAAAGAATCAGCTGCCAGTTCTGCACTCTAACTTGTTAAATATTCCAGTGTACTATTTATTGTTTCTGAAATTAGTTTAATAGTTATATTGATAGAGAAGTATTAATTTTGTCATGGTTTCAGTATATTTAGTTATTTTAAGACTTATTAACTGACACTCATTTGATATTTTAAATTGTGTATGTTTACAGTTCACTGCACAATTGTGGAAGACTGAGTATGTCAGATGGCTAAACTTACTTGTTAACGGCTAGAATATACTTTTTTCCAATCTATTAATTGATTGAAGGAATAATTATAATAATGTGTTTAAGAGAGAAATGAGTATAATGACAAATTCTAATCTTCATGGTGACATAATCTTAGAAGATATAAAATTAGTTTTACAAGTATATCAATATGTGGTTTTTAGCAATATTAGCAGTGACAATTTGTATTTATTGGGGAAATCTTTTACCAGTAATTTCTATTAAAACTGTATTTCAAATTCATTCTGTCTACAAGTTTGATCCATTTTTGGAATTGAGGTTTTAAACGATTCCACATGATATTTAGAAAGCGTTGATAAGCATGTGCAAAAGAGACCTGCTATCAATATATAAAAGAGTTATTGAAAATATATTATTTATAGTTTGTTACTGTTAACTTGGATCATACTTCTTATTATTTGGGTTTTAATGTTTTACTTCTGGAACTGTCTTTCTTGGCTGGGGTGTATGTGCTCTGATAATTACAAGCCATATACATCATAGCATCTGAAATTTCAAGGTAAGCATCTCCCTGCTTCTTGAAGCATCAAATTGAAGCATTCAAAGTTTTGGAGAATAAATATATTATTTTAAAAATGAAAAGATTTAGAGTAGAATGCAAATAAAATGAGATGTTTATTAAGATATAGCATGGTGCTTTACAGAAATATAAATCGAAATTGTTCTTGAATTGGCCTAAACTCCCAGGCTCTGTGGGATAAGATGCATTTTCCTCTTTTTCTGTCTGTGGGCCAGACTAGGAGAGGCAAGGTTCCCAGGGGGGAGAATTGAAGGAAAGGCTCACTGTGAGATGTTGACTCTGCATTTGGATGATCTTAAATTCTGAGTCCTAGGCACCTACCTTGCCTCACCCTTGGTTTTTGCTTTGCACTTGCTAGAAAAGATTGAGCAGGATTGTCCATTTCCTTTATGTGTTTTTTAAGGACCATATATTTGCATCACCATAATTTATATTGCTTTGAGAATTTGAGAAAGGCAGTCTTCATTGGGTAATAACTTATTTTGCTTAGTGGTTTGCAGTTTACTTAGGACTTTTGCCTCCTGTAGCTGAATTGTCTCATTAGCCTTGTAAGTGAGGAGGCAACATTTCTCTTTATTATACATATTAAGCCCTAATAGGACCAAAACATTTCAAGTCATTCTACACAATGGCAGAGCTTTTTGCTTGGGCGTTGGCTTTTCATAACTTTGGTTTAGATATTCTTTGGGAGCCAGCTCTCATTTCATGCACTGTAAATTGCAGCTAAAATTCTGTTTTGCATCCTAATCAGATTTTGTCAAATAACTAATATTTTGTAAAATAACTAAATATACTGAAACCATGACAAAAACCAACATGGCTGGTAACTCTCACAAGGTCATAAAGGGGCAGAGAAGCTGGCTTCCCTCAAAACATGAATTCAGTTGAGAGTTGCATTGGATCCCACCTGGTTGATAGGCAAGGTGGCTCAACCTTGATATAGGAGAGTTAGTGCATTTCGTTACTTAATGTGCCAGGCACAGAGAAAACCATTTGCATAGTATGAGCTCTGCTCAGAACACCTGACAATGCACTTAAAAATGTTCATAGACTTTTACACATGGTAGTGATTCTGTCATCTCCGACCACATTCATTAGAACAACGCTTGAGAGTATATCCTGTTACCAGTGATTTGCCATATGCTTCCTTGTCCTTTCCTACTTGAGCCACTGGACTCGTGGCCCCCAAGTCAAACATTGTCTGCACTTAATTCTGTTTCTCTTGCTCCCCCATCTACTGTTGAATCTCTCATCTGTGCATCCTCAGTGGCTGTTTCATACTTCTAGTTTCAGATTTTCTTAGGAGCTCATGGAGAACAGGAATCTTTTCTTATTTGGTATTTTGGCCTAGGTGCCCAGTACAATGCCTTAATCAAGTAGGTTCCCATAAAGGTTTGTGAATTGATTTCTTTTCACAATTAAATATTTCACAGAAACTGCGTCCTCATGAAATGACATGTTATAACAATGGTTTGCTCCTTTTCTAAAACACAAGATAAATGATGTACGAGAGGATGATAATACCTTTTTTTTTGAGACTTCTATTTAATTGTAATTTATATGGTCACTTGTTTGCTCCCAATATTTGTTTATAACATATGACAGGTTTCCTCAAATATTTCATCCTTCCAATGTCTGAAAATATCAGGCTCATTTTCTGTACTCACAAATAATGATGTTTATCAAATAGTGTAGAAATGGAGAGGAAAGTAAAGACAGAGAAAATTCACATGGAGAAAGTTGCTCTAGATTGAGCGTGGTGGCTCACTCCTGTAATCACAGCATCTTGAGAGGCTGAGGTGGGAGGATTGCTTGTATGCACAAGTTCGAGACCAGCCTGGGCAACACAGTGAAACCTCATCTCTACAAAAGAATTAAAAAATTACCAGACATGGTGGCATGCACCTTTTGTTCCAGCTTCTGGGGAGGCTGAGACAGAAGGATCGCCTGAGCCCAGGAGCTTGAGGCTACAGTGAGCTGTGATCGTGCCGCTGTCCTCCAGCATGAGTGACAGAGTGAGACTCTGACTCAAAAAAAAAAACGTTTCTCTAAATGTTAAACTAATTTTGTATATTTCCATCATCTTCTACATAGCCACATTTTTAATGGACTATATTTAGTTTAAATTTCCTTGAGGAATATACATATATGCATATTCACAGGTATATAGGAACTTTCCTAAATTGGATATCTTCTATATTTAGTAAATATTTTTATGTCTGTCTCTTCATACCAGCTCTCTGAGTCCAGATGTTGATCCAGTTCTTGCTTTTCAACGAGAAGGATTTGGACGCCAGAGTATGTCAGAAAAACGCACAAAGCAATTTTCAGATGCCAGTCAATTGGATTTCGTTAAAACACGAAAATCAAAAAGCATGGATTTAGGTAGTGAGTACAATCTCCATGAATCTTTATCTAAATAAGGTTTAAATGCTTTCAGGATAAAATTGATGGTCCCAAACACATGTCTGTTTACTTTGAGCAATAGAGAAAATAAATGTGAAATGTGGCTATTTGGCAAAAATTAGTTTTTCTCTGAGTTTGAGATAACTATATTACTCACAAATGGCATGTTTACATAATTTGCAATATGTTAATATATATGTTTTCTTATGAGAAAGGAAACAAACACATGTGCATATCATGCTATGTTCACATATCTTTATTTTGTAAAATAAAATGTTTTTACCCTTTGGCTATTTAAAACCAATTTCAATGTAATTGTATTTGGTTGAGTATGGGATTTTTAAAGTAGAAGGAGAAATTTTGGAGAGAAACCATTATCTCAATCCATGTCTGGAATTTGGTTACTTCATAATATCTTCCTTTCATTGCTGTTCTTTAAGGTTTATTGAATAGAAACTCTTACTTTTTTTTATAACTCAGGCATTTAATTGAAGTAATAATTTGAGATAATATTTATTATACAAAGTGTTTGAGGGCAAATGAGAGGAGGAAAATAATCATAGTTGTCCAATCAAACACCAATCAGCTAGTGTCTCTTTAAATCCAAATCCACAAAAAAAAGTAAAATAATTATGTCTACAAAGTGAATGATTTAAAACCTTTGTTAATCAATTGTAACTTATGCTGTTCTCTGGTGGCTGTTTGTACTCCAACACTAAAAGCATTAATTTATCATTTGCATAAAAGAAAAATTTGGCGATGCATTGCCTTGGCTAATTATGATATGCTAACATATAAATAACACACATGTCTGTGAAATGAAATGACTGGCATATTGCATGGAGACACTGCTTTTTTTCTCTCCCTTTTTTTGACTATGAATGTTTGCTTGATGTTTCATAGCATTTGCATGAAATATTATCTAAGAATTGTCACCTAACTGAAAAGATCTGGAAATGATTGAAGCATGCTGGGCTATGGGAACTAACTGGGCTAACCATTATACATTTACCTTTTAACAGTAGCTGACGAGACTAAACTCAATACAGTGGATGACCAGAAAGCAGGTAAGAATGGACAGTTAGACTGTTGCCATAGAAACCGTGGCCCAAGGAGCTTATCACAATTATAGAGCTGCTGGTCATATTCCATGTAAACATAAATATTCCAGTCTTACACAGATGTTTTCATTGTGGTAAATCAGATTACATAAGAAAAGAAAAATTTTGCGTTAGAAGAAATGTATCAGTGGTGTACATGCTAAGTGGAAATATTATTTAGTGCTTCAAAAGGCTAAAACAACATAGATTTTCTGAGTTATGTTTGTGTAGAAATGTTTGTCACAATTTCTATAAAATAATAATTCTCTGAACATGACTTCTTATGGTAGGCTTGTAAGTTTTTAAGTCCTCTATATGATGTTTAGGTTATCACCCAAACTGTGATTCTCATTGTTGTTATTTTTATTTGAATGATAATAGTGCTAGTACAAGTATTTTTAACTGTAGGACTATGTCCAGTATTGCTATCATTAGTCACTCAGAAAATCTTAATCCTTTTTTGGGTGCTAGAATTAGTTTAAAGTTAATCTTACATTGGATTAGATTATAATGCATATGAATTCATATCTTAACTTTATGAACTTGTTCTTAATTAATTATTTCTAAAATACTGCTATACCATTCCATAGAAACAATATATTATATTGCACTGGGTTTTGCATTATAGTAGATTTTGCTTTTTATGTTTTTGTATGAAAACAATCAGAGGAAAGTCTAAGTGTAGTTAAAGTAATTTGCTTTGTACAAGTGGCTATTTATGATTTATGATTATAAGTTTGGAATCGTATTTTAATTATTCTAGATCCAGCATGATGTAGTTACACCACTTAACACTAATTAGCTTCAATTCACCTTTTTAACCTGTGACAGTAATTAGTTTTTGACTGCTTGAAAAGTTTTCATCCCACATACATGTGTAAAGATTACTGTGGACATAGGTGGTGTTATCATATTCTGTAGAGTATAAGATAGATGATAAAAATTACATCTCATAAATCATAGGATTAACTATATTGCAAGGCAATTAACTATAGCCCCAGCCCTTACTAAGTAGTTATTATTCTCATCAAACATAAAATTCAGTGAAATTCTAAAGCAGGACTGAAAAAATATTAGTAGATAGTTCATATATGTAAAAATAGTAGTTTCTGCAGTTAGCAGTATTCAGTACTTTTAAGGAAGTGACCCCTATCCAAGTTAATGCTTATAAAAACCAGATTGAACTGCATGGGTTAAAAGACATGAACTTACGTACTGTGCAACGTAGGTAAATTAAGAAAAATGACTAATTTAATTCACAGCTACTACAAGGAAAAGGAAAATTTATTGTTATTTTAAAAATAATAATGATAGCTAAATTTTAACACAAAGAATTGCATAACCCTCAGACTAAGAAGACAAAATATATCTGTTCAAACTGTGTGTTTTTATGTTTTAAAATGCTAGATTCTAGAGAAAAAAACCATTTTTTTTACACTCGATACAATCTATCCTACCAAATTAAACTGGAAAATCTTGGGACAAAAAAATTATTACATAGATGCCAAAATACTTGTTGGTCTGTTGGTTTTAAATCTACATGAATAAAATATGTACACTAGAATCTCCCCTCCCCCAATATTAGACAGTGAGCAGATTTTTAGTTATTTTTCTTCCTTCACTTCACTTGAGATTCCAAGATTATCGTGATTTTGCAGTTTAGTCCAAAGGTTTTTGGGAGAATCGTAGTGGCATTTTAGCAAAGAGCATCTGTCTAGCCATAAGCCTTTCATAATGAAAATTGAATTCTGTTTCCCTTTGCCCCTTGCAAAAGACATCCTCTACTTACTTTCTCTTTCTTTTTTCTTTTTCTTTTTTGACAAGAGGATATTAGTAAGTAGGAATTGAAAAACAGGTCAAGAGAAAATAGAATTATTATGATTTCTCCCTTTTCCCCTAGATTTAGGAATCTTGTCCCATATTTTGGGGGTAAATATACTTTCTGAAAGAACAAGAGAGAACAGGAATAAGAAGAAAATTGGTTTTTTTGATGGTTTCATTCTTGAAATACAAGAAGTAAGCAAATTATACTTAATGTCCTAAAATAATATTTTAAACCTCTTATATAAAATAAGAGGTTTAAAATATTATTTTAAAATTAAAATAAAATATTGTTTTGTACAAATGAAACTGTCTTTTGCCTATGCTTCATATAAAGACTTTTTTGCTTTTTACTAGCATTATTAAATTTTTATTATTAGCATTATTAAATGCTAAATTTATTATGTTAGCAATTTCAGTAACTTCTTTAGGGAATTTTTTTTTTTTTTACTCCAATCGGTCACCCAGATTGGAGTGCAGTGGCCGCTCCCGGCCACCGCAGCCTCGACCTGCTGGGCTCCGGCGATCCTTCCTCCTCAGCCTTCCGAGTAGCCGGAATTACAGGCATGTGCTACCACGCCCGGCTGATTTTTTGATTTATTGTAGAGATGAGGTCTCACTGCCCAGGCGG